CAGTAGGTGGATAAATAAACTCTAATACATCCAGAAAATGGAATATTATTTGTGTTAAAAATAAATGAGCTCTCAAGCCATGAAAATACATGGAGGAAACTTTAGCACATATTACTAAAGGAAAGAAGCCACTCTGGAAAGGCTACCTACTGTATTATTCCAACTATATGACATTCTAGAAAAGGCAAAAACTATGAATACAGTAAGATCACTAGTTTCCAGAGGTTGGAGGGAGGCAGGGAGGAGTGAGCAGGCAGACAACAGGGGATATTAGTGCAGTAAATCTATGTAATATTTTAACAGTGGGCATATGTCATCATACATTTGCCTAACCCATAGAATGTACTTTGCCAAGAGTGGACTTGCAGTGATAGTGGTGTGTCAATGTAAGTTCATCAGTTCCCAAATGTACCATTCTGGTGGAGAATGTTGATATTGAGAGAAATTATTCATGTGTGGAAACAGGGTATATGTAGGATATCTCCATACCTTCTTTTCAATTTTGCTATGAGCCTGAAATTGCTCTAAAAATAAAGTTTATTTTTAAAAAAATCTATCAATATAATCCACTATATTAATAGGCTAAAAAGATAAAAATCACATGATTTTGTCAATTGATGCAGAAAAAGCATTTGACAAAGTTCAATAGCTCTCATGATGAAACCTCTTAAAAACTAGGAATAAAGGGTAAATCCTTCAACTTGATAAAGAACATCTACAGAAAAATCATAGCTAACATACATTCCCCTAAGATCAGAAACGTGGCAATAATATCCACTCTCAAGATTCTTACTCAACATCAAAGCAGAAATTCTATCTAGGCAGTTTGAGAAAATGAAATAAAAGGCATACAGAAAAGAGAAAGTGAAACTGTTGCTCTTTGCAGATGACATGATGTTGACATAGTTGAAACACCCTATGAACCTTGAAAAAACCAGAACTAATAATATTTCAAAAAGGCCACTGGATAGAATCACAAAACACACACAAAAAAAATATCTGTAAATGTGAGCAATGAACATTTGTAAACAGAAATTAAAAACACATCACCATTTAGGTTAGGCTAAAAAAACCAATAGGTATAAATCTAATAAAACATTTACAGAGCTCAAATGCCAAAAACTATAACACTAATAAAAATAACCAAAGAAAACCTGAATAAATGGGGACAAATACCATGTTCATGGGTTCAATGAATCAACATGGTAAAAGTGTCACTATTTCTGTATTGGTATATAGGCTAATGTAATTATTGTCAAAACACCAACAATATTATTTGTAGTTACTGAAAAAATTACTCCAAAAATTTACATAGAAAACAAAGGGATTGGAGCAGCTAAAATAATTTTTATAAAGAATAAATGGGAGGAATCATTCTACCCCAAATCAAGACTATGTCATTGACAAGAGGATAGACACATAGGTGAGTGGAACAGAACAGAGAGCCCAGAAATAGATCTGAAACAGTAAAATTATTTTTGAATAGATGCAAAGGCAACTCGATGAATGGAGAGTCTTTTCAACAAATGGTTTTAGAACAATTGAACATCCAAGAACAAAAACTGAGTCTTGACCTCAGCCTCACACCTAATGCAAAGCTTATCTCAAAACGGATCGTAGAGTCAAATGTAAACCATGAAATTATAAAATATTTAGAAGATAACATAGGAGAGAACCCTTGGGTCAAAGGGCTTGTTAAAGAATTCTTAGGATATCTAAAGCATGATCAGTAAAAGAGAAACCAGATACCTTTGAACTCATTAAAATATAAAATGTGTTCTCTGTGAAATGTCCTGTTAAGATGATGAAAGACAAGCTACAAACTAGTCAGATATATTTGCAAACCACATGTCTGAGAAAGATCTAGTATCTGGAACATATAAAGACCATGCAAAATTCAACAATAAAAAATTCAGAATATTCAATCAGAAAATACAGGAAGTATCATTTCACCAACAAGGATATACAAATGGTAAACAAACACATGAAAAAACAACAACATTGCCAGATATTTGCAAATTAAAAGCAAAATGAGGTATCACTATGTTGCAAAATCCAAGCTCATGCCATTTGCCACAGGACACGACAATAAGTCTAGAGACCAGGTGCTGAAGCAAGGAAAGAGAATTTATTAGGAAAGCCATCAGAGAAAATGGTGCACTCTTGTCCTGAAGCACCATCTTACTGTTGATTTCAAGCTTCTTTTATGTTAGGGATGGAGAGAAGTAAAGGAGGGTGAGGTCAGGAGATGACAATCAACCTCAGACATCTGGACATCAGCAAGGGCCTGGGGAGGGTGTGAAACTTCTTGTCCTTGGTTAGTTGACCAGTCATTTTGTTGACATGGGTCTGGCCATGACATTTCTGTAAGGCCTTGACCATCCAGTAGTCATTTTTGCACATACTTCCTTATATCTTCAGAGAAGGTGAGTTTCAGGTAAGGGGCTGGTTGTGTCAATCTTAAGTCTTGAGCAAAATTCCTTTTGATGATTAACAAGTTTACCTGCAGGGCTGAGCAGAAACAATTTGACCCAAAGATTAATGCAGCAAAGGAGGCAGATACAGTATGAAGATGGATGCCAGCTTTTTCACAAATAATTAAATGTTAAATTTGAAGTGTTTCATTGTAAGGAAGAAGCTAAAACATACATAAAATCTGAGAAGAAAAGTTTTCATTGTAATTATGTGAACTCATAATTTAAAACATTTTGTGTGTGTGTGTGTGTGTGTGTGTTTCTGTCTGTGCCCACTGACTGGGCTGAGAAGCAATAATAATGAATACTCAGGTCTGGGATCCTAAGTACCGTTCTGCACCTGAAGGCATCAGGGCCATTGGAGAGAAGGCTAATTCCAGATGTAAACCAAGTGAGCTGCCGACAGCTAGTGGTTGAGAAAGAAGCTCTTAGTGACTAAAGGATCAACACAGGAGCAGCTGGAAGTTTGGCCTCCCACTAGCACAGCTTGGGACAATTTGAATATCAGAAAGAATGAAGACTGCAACATTGCAAAACATTGAAAAAGAAAGATCCAGAATCCAAGAGTGATATGAAAAAATGAAGAAAATGAAGAGATACAGTAATAAGAACTCATTAGAAGTGACTATCACATGGACATAGCTCAATTTAGGCAAGGAGAGTAAGAATTTGCTAGCATTTGTCAAGTAACTTGAGGGCCTGAGAGGTGTCTCACCCAGTTTAGTCCTCAGGAGGTACTGTGAAGTGTTACTCTTCCTATTCCATAGATGAGCCTGTTAGGGCTCCAAACAATGAAATGAGTCTGAGATCACATAACTCTTAAGTAGTGTACCACATTTTGAATCCAGGTTTTCTGGTGGTACACGTTTTCTGAGCAATTATGTTGTGTCCTAAGTGCAAAGCACACCAATCGGTGTCAGGGAAATTAGGAAATATGTCCTCAAATTAAATTCTGCAAAAGGGACAAACAGCAAGGAAGAAAACATGCCGAAGAGAAATTGAGTGGAAATTATGGGCATCTCAGGTGCTGGGTGGGACAAGTGTTGACAAAGTGGGCCCATAGGGCATGGGGCCCTGCTCTCCGAGAGCTAAGGAAGCCACCTGGGGTGAGAAGTGGGGGCAGCCCAGATGGGCTAGGAGGAGTGTGCCGAGACAGAGGATGCCACAGCTGATGGGAGGGGAGTGACTGGGCCACCAAGAAAGCTCATCATGTCAGACAAGAGCCCTGGGCCCTTGAAGTGTGTCTGTGGGGTCTGCCTGCAATGCAGATACCACCCTCTGGAAGTGAGGACTGTGCTCCAGAGAGAGAAGACAGGAAATGGAATTTGGGACAAGAAGAAAGCAGAATTAGTGGAGGGAGAGGGGGCAAGGTACACCCAGCATGGTTCCCAGAGGGCCACATTCAGGAGCCTGTATACCTTCCCACTTGTCTAATGTGAAAACAGTAGCCACAAAAGAATGAGCTATGATGCTCACAATTGTTCTGGCTAGAATTATAAAAGGGACAGTTTTTATCCTGAAGTGTTTTGGGATTAGTTTATTTCTTTAAATCATGTAGATGATTTTCCTCTCTTTCATGACTTCACACATTATAATTAAACATATTTTGGTAGTGAGCACTTATCAAAAACCATAGAAGCAAAGGAAGAGGAAATGAGAATTGGAGCACACGAAGTTCAAAGGCCAGCGGGCTTTGGGTGCAGTGATGCCTGATGTTTCCACATAGAGTGAAGTTTGGAAGCAAAACAGTTGTTCATGTCTGAATCAGGTTTGTGAACCCAACATAAAAACCATTGTTTCAGCTCATATTGGAAACCTTTCTGTACTCATTTCTTCATGTCCCTGACCTCACATGGAGTGAAGTGCAGATGGGAAGCTGTTAGGTGATGTTGACTGGGAATCGAGGAGATCCCCAGTCCTCGTGGTAGAGCTGATACTTGCTAGACAGTGCTCCTCAAAGTTGGTCCCCAGGAACTTGCTGTCCACACCAATTCTCTGCCAACCTGCCCTCCCCACAAACCTGAGTCAGAAGCTCTGAGGGACCAGCAACCAGCATTTCAAGAGCTCTCCAGGTGATTATCTTGTATGCTGACATTCAAAAACCTGCTCTAAGCGGTATGGAAGTTGCACTGGACTTCCATTATTTCAATCAGTTTGCTTATTTAAGCTCTCTCCCCTAAGGTGCTATGAAGCAGAAGACTGGTTCTTTGAAAGTCAGTTAATTATAATTTTCTATGATTACTTAGAGTTAATTAAATCAAATGATTGCAGATTTGGCTTATGTAATAAGGCCCCAAAATGGAATAGTCTGTTAATGAAAGTGACAGATTTTTCACTCATACAAATTTCAAATAACATTCTTTTCATTTCAGAAAATGTGGGAATACTTCATATTATTTAGATGGTAACTTTTCCACTGTCCTTCATCAAAGAGTGAATCTAACATATACTGTGAAGCCAATACCTAATTAAATACATTATATGTTTATGCACACACACAATATAGAACATTTTCCTGCATTTCAGGTCCAAACTGCTTCGCAGAAACCGCGGTCATCCCAGCAGGCAGGGAGGTGAAGACTGATGAATGCACCATCTGTCACTGCACGTACGAGGAGGGCACGTGGAGGGTCGAGCGGCAGGCCATGTGCACGAGACACGAGTGCAGGCAGATGTAGACGTGGGACCACACGAACTCTGACGTTTTCCTAGGATATTTTACTGCTGTGAACTTCTAGGTGACTCTGGGAAATGTCAATCCAAAGGAAAAGACTTTTAATGAGGATTAATGGAAAACTGTTGGTGCTTCGCTATTCTCGGTAACGATTACTGCAAGAGAAGGAAATGGATATACTTCAAACATCAAGAACTTTGGGCATAAAATCCCTCTCTAAATAAATGTGCTATTTTCACAGTAAGTACATGAAAGTACACTATTATATATTAAATGTATTTCTATAATCCCTCTATTAGAGAGCTTATATAAATGTTTTCTATAGATACAGATTAAAATGCTGTGCTGTCAACCGTCTTCACTGTGTTCCTGCATATCTTTCTCAGTTCTGATTCCATCGCATGATATTGTTTGTGGCTGCTGACTCTCCTCCATGTCTTATGATAGTGTACCCATTATTGGAACATGGGGTAATGGGATGATGTCTACTGAAATTGTTCCACTGCAGAGGTATACCTAGTGTCTATCCTTAGAAGATCCAGTCTCTTCACATACACTTTCTCCTTCTCATACTATTTTCCTGCTTTTACCTCTCCATTCTGTCATCTGGGAATGAGGTACACAGATAATCAACAGGCACTTTCTCTGTTCATTCAAAGCTCCCATGAATGGGCCATAAATGGATGCATACACATTTCATTTTCACTTACTTCACTTACTCTTCTAGGCATGGCTTTAAAGCATCCCCCGAACAGAGGAACAAGGTAGGGTGGACAGTATGTATTATTGTTCCATCAGGCTGAAGCATCAGTAAAATAGGGGAATCTCTTGATTCTGTGGAGGAAAACAACTCCCAAACTAGTTTAAACCTGCAGCCTACATGTGATATAGATGTTCTAACTTCCTGTCCAATGACTCCTGTTTCCCACCAGAAAGATCAACTGTCCACTACAACAGACACCGTAAGACCTGGAGTGATAGGAAACCCTATATCAGTCATCCTTCAAAAGGGGGACGAGGAGGCAGTTGTGTCCAGTATGTTAAAACAAACGATGCTGAGGCCATAGACATTCTACAGTTTTCTGTAGTTACATATAATCCCAAACCAAGTCCATTTCTCTTCATTTTCACAGGGAACAGAAGAAGCCACTGCAAACCCTGCAGTCTGACCAATGTGTAATAGAGTATTTCTGCCATTAGCAATCACATCAACACTTGGCACATTGATGAGAAAGGTAGAGCCTTATTAGGTGTAAGGTGAAAAAGCAGAACTATCATGACTATTTGAAGCCTTAAAATTTTTCCCCATACATTTATTCCAAATTTTTGAATTAAGCACCTATTAATTACAAATTATTTTGATGGTTAAAAAGTCATGGCCTCTGGCATTTCAGTAAGAAATTACAGTGCATTGCAGAAGGAGCTCAACTGGAGGTCTGCAAAGGGAGGTTATTTAGAAAGCCTCTCTAAAAAGAGCAGAGGATACCAAAAAAATCATTCAGTACATACAATCATTCAGCCATTCAAGGTTGAGTAGTCAAGAAAAACTGACACATTTGTCATCCTTGAAAAGTTGAACCACTGTGGACTTGCTCCTCAAGAAATTTACATGTGCTAACCTTTAGTTTTTATCTTGTTTATCAAGAACATCTTAAGCCAAATGGGCTTGCCTGTAGAGGTTTCCATGAAGCTACTCAGGGGTAGTATAGTTGCCCTCATGTGAAATCAGCTCTCAAAACTTAGCTTTTGGTACTAAGGGCTACTGGACATTGGCCACCTCTCCATTTTCCAAAGGTAGATGTTTTGGAGACAAAGTTTTATGAAGTTATGATTTTGCCATCACTCGGCCCTTGTCCCCATGGGACATGAGCTATCTTTAAGATATATAAGTAGCCTCTTCTCTCCCCACCAGGCTTGCTGCAATGAGAGACATAATCAGTGAGCCCCAAGTGCCCTGCTCCCTTTGGTGATGCAATCCCTAACAGGATGGGTGATGACAGCTCTGAAGTAACTGCAGTGGCTCCTAAATGCTGCAGGATTCTCAGGGAACTTGGCACTCTGTTGCATATACAGAGAGTGAGCACAGACTCACCTTGGGATATTGACTTCCCCTCACTTGGTCTGACCTCCTGTGACCCACCCTTGTCCCAGGCACATTCCTGAAGGCTGTAGCCCGGGCTGTGATCACACCAACCTGACTCCCTCTCCCTCTCATTCCTCTTTCCTTATCAGAACAATACACAAACCAAACATCTGGCAGAACTTGGGTTAGTGGGTAGTGATACTGCACCTCCTTAATATAGCATGATATTACTTGCATTTTTGTCCAAGAGAAACTTGTTCTTCCAGGTTTTTGAATTCTTGCCATTCACTTAGACTTTTACATCTATAAAGCTGTATCAGTCAAAATCTTATTTTCCTCCTCTTTTACCATAGAACAATCTGCACTGACACTGTTCTAGTCAATAAGTGTAATAATGGCCTCAATATCGGCATTATGAAAAGAGGAAAATATAAGTCCAGGTTATCTGATTCCAAAATATTGTAAGTCCAAGTTATCTGATTCCAAAATATTATGGCCTGGGCATAGTACTGGAAAGGAAGCCTCAGAATTCAACTTCAGAAGTTTCTGGAGAGTAAAAAACTCAAGTACACCTGCTCCTTAAGTGCCTAATAATTGTTCGTAAAGGAGTTATTCAAGCTGAAAAAGCAAATAATTCTTACAAACACATCGCATGAATTCATTTCAAATTATTTGACCTGCATTTATATCTGAAAATATGAACCTAACTTATTTAAGCAATAGAGTGATTCTGGAGATTACCTAGTCTGACACTAGATTTTCACGTCAGATTGATTCTGTCAATCATAGGTTCTTTTTTCGTTGGATGGGTCCATCAATACTTTTGCATTTCATAGAAGTCTTGGGTAATTTCAAAAACTTGTGTTTCATTTCTGCATGCAACAAATATTAGAAGCCCCCAGCTCTGTGCCAGGACCTGCTGTGGTGCGATGGCAGTACAGATGGAGAGGTGAGAGAGTCCTTGACATGGAGAAGTTCATATGCCTTGGAACTAATTTACACTTGGTTATTTTCCTTTCAGTCTTTGATGCTTTCACTTTATCTCCTTTGATGAAACAGTAAAACATGTTTAAGAGATGAATTCTCATACATTTTGAATTTTGTAGCATCATGAATATGTTTAACAAACTCTACTCCCCCATCACAAATACTATATATATATACACAATATTTTTAAAAGCCTGAAAATTTCAGAGAATTCAGGTGTTTTCTATTTAAGTTTTTGTTTTGTTTTGTTTTGATTCTAAGCACTGAAATGTGTTTTTTAATGAATCCATTATTTGAAACATACAAAATGCATACCAGATCAAACAAGAATTACTGAAAATGACATTTTAAAATAGATTTTTAAATACAAAGAAAATAGAAGTATAGACACCAAATTTAACAAATACTAACAATTTACTATATTTGCTCTAATAGGCAAGAGATCAAGTCTACTTATTAATTTTTAAAAAGTAGGATGTTTTTCTCCAATGCAATATGAGGGTAAGTGATCTAAGCATCATTGCATTGGCATAATGGGGCATTTTCAGATGTACTGACCAATGGACACCAATCAGTAGGTATACACAGGCATATGTGCTTCTTTGGCTGCTGTAATTTGCACCACGGTGATCTTACCAGACCTTCTTACCTGCTCTTCTTTTCCCACTAGTAGCCTCTATGAATGGCTGAATGCAACCACTTTTCCTGAAGAATCAGATTCCAAGAAAGCAATTCACTTATTCTGTCACAAATGTGTTTTTACAGTTCCTATGTTTTGAATTCTAGCTGCCCCTTACTGTCCCACAGTCAAGCTGTTTCAAACTCTTCACTCCAAACCACACTCCAAATTAGTATCCCCAGTGTACTATTTAAGTTTTCTAAACAGAGTTAGTATCAACTGATTTCTCCTAATCACACACCGAGTAGCAGCCATGGCTCACCATGCCCCATCTCCTGCTGGCCGTGGGAGCTGCAGGCTTTGGGTACCTCTGACTGTGCTCTCACCATGGCCTCTCCTTCCTACTTTCCACCTTTTCAGCCTGTGAGATATTAGCCATTTTTCAATATCAAAATCAAGTGCCATTACCTGTGAGAAAGTTTCTTTGGTCCTAATCGGATTGTCACTCTATGCCCCTGCTATACTATCCATTTGGTGTCTTATCTTAGCATGTGGTTAGCAATCATACTTTGTACTGCAGTTAATTCAGTCTCTCCAACACTCAGTCTCCAGAATATCATCCAATGCCTTATGTTTAAGACCAGCTGAGCTGTACTCAGTGCATTCAGTTATTTATTGTCCTTATTGAAAGCCAGCACATATCTTGAAGAGCCCCTCACGGCTCCATTAGTGTTGGCCTGCCCTGAAGTCGCATGGTTTTTCAGTTGAATTCATACTTCAGATGTCCAGGGTGTGCAGCTACTTGTGACACAACAAATCGCCACTGTTGCAAAGTTTAGGGTCAATAGCCATTAGGCAGCCACTGGACATTTCTGATGCAGTCAGATGGCTTTTGGTGTAAAGTTGCTGATGTTGAAGATAAAGATAACTTCTTTTATTGAGGAGACACTGGTACTTACTGATGACAAAGCAAGTTTACTGTTTTGGTATTTATAGTATTTATTTACTTAACTTAGTTCCAGCTCTTGAAATATAAATCTCTTATCGTAGAGTTGCTTTGATGGTTTTGAGTGTCTGCATATTTTCATCTTACCTACCATGATTAAACCCCTCAATAGGTATCTAATGAATTAATAAACCAATGAATCTGCAGAAACACAAGTTTCCACAACTGTGGGAAAAGTGTTAAAAAGTGGTGGTTGTCTAAATTTCACCACAGTGCCAAATTTCACTCTGAAGTTTGCAAAGTACCTGCTGTTTTAACTTTAACACAAAAATGTAAAAATTAAGCCCAAATGGCTAAGTGTTAAAAGAATGGATCCCAGTGAACATTAAGTGACATTGACGACCATGCTGGGGGTTCAGCCTGAGTTTCAATAATATTAAGAAAACTGAAACAGAAATGTGCTGTAAATGGCACTTGGGCACTTGGGCATCATATGGTCCAAGGAATGTATACTGTTTAACTCCTTCCTGTTAAATTCAAAGAAGTACATACAAGCCTATGGCTTACACATTATATAGGCACAATGTTATCAAAAATAACCAAAGGATATACCTGAAGCCATTTTAGTACATTGTAGACACAGTCTGACAGGTAAGAACAGCTGTAAATACTGCCACCTTAGTTTTAAGTTCAATTTTTAAGAAATATAAACAGTTCTCAATTTTACTCAATATTTAATATTTTACTTAATGATTAATTTCCTATTTTTAAAAATTCCTAGAATTTAAATTTTAGACAGGCCTGTTTTCAAATATATTTTGGGGAATATTCCTTTTCCCATTTAATGTACTTATCATGTTTACATTATCTAATGAACACAAATCTATTTGTATTCCTATCAGTTTCAGGGATTATTCTCTTCCTAAGCATGCATATCTTATAATTAAATTTTTAAAAAGTGAAAAGTATCTAGTAAGTAATGTCTTTCTATGAAGCAATGTTTATACATAACAAAGTACTTTAATTCATTGTTTCAAAATATCTATTAGGCAATCATTAAATGTATAATCTAAGCCAAGTATTAACACTAGGTGCTTTCACTCATTATCTCATTTCACCTCACAATTCTCCCCAGGCAGAGGTTAACATTATCCCCTTTTTGCAGAAAAGTAAATGTGGGCTAAGCAAGTTCAGAAACTGACCCCCGTTTCGATCTGATAAGTGATGGGGTTAAGAACAAAACTTTACTTTCACCAGAGCCTGGGATTTGAAACCTTATCATTAAAAGCAGGGTCCTCTAGAAATTGGACAAGACTTTCCAAAGTGCTCTTCTCCTCTACTCACAATTATAGGAAATGAACAGCCACATAGTCCCCCTAATTCAACTATAGTGATCTTGACATTTGTCAAAGAAAAAGCTCCTTATAAAAATGCTTGACCTCCCTAGTCTAAACGTTTGCCATATATTTGATTCCTAACTAAACAATATCTAGAGCTCTTTTAAAATAATATTTAAGCATCAGTAGTGTTTTATATGTCTTTGTTTAGGTATGGTCCTTGCACTGAAATTTATAAAATATGACTGAATATTTTGACTCAGTCTTTCTGAAGCCAAATGACATAAACTGCCATTTAGTGTGTGCTAGTTATATGACAAGTGTTACAAGAGGCATTTTTTCAGCTGATTTCTTCCTTTTTTCAGTTCTGCTGTAATAATGAGGAAAGCACCTACATAGTAGGTAATTTGCTCATGTTTCAGTAATAAAACAGAGGTTAAGTATGTGGTTCTGTTATCCTGAATGGGGCACAGTTAGGGCTGGAGCGGATAGTTACCTGCTGCAAGTATTCTTCCAGTGTAGCAGTAGCCACTGACCTTGTTCAGTCATTCACATCATACTGCAGACATTGAGTGTATCCTATGTGTCAAGAATGGTTTAGGCTTGGCAGCTAAGAAAAGTTCAGGCCTCGGGCCCTTGGAGCTCTTAGCCTAGTGTACTGGCAGAGATCCTTAAATC